AAACACCGAATCCCCGTGCTACCCCGTGCTACCGAGGGTTCAGGCCAGTTTAAGGCCCAGGCGCCCTGAGGTGCGCTAGCCTACTAGTAGTAGTAGTAGTAGTAGTAGTAGTAGTAGGAGCAGCAGCAGCAGCCATGAACCTTCAAGTAAAGTTCAACAGTCTCGACTCATGCGCCTGGCAGCGTTCTCTTGGACCGCCTGCAAGCAGCCGTGGCCCAGAATTGGAAAAACAAAAAGACTGAAGGGAAGTTACCCATGTGGGGACTTTGGGGTGTAGGTTTCAGGTTCGAGGGCTTTACCCTGAAACCCGAAAGCCTTAAATACAAATTTCAGAACCTGAGGTTAAGCCCGCTTGGTATTCTTCACCACTTGCCGTGGGGTCTGGCCCAGTCTTTATGTTTGGACCCCGCGGTTTACTGTAGGGTTTAGGGTTTATACAGGTTTGGGGTTTAGGGTTTAGGGTACCCTAAACCCTAAACCATAAACCCTAAACCTATATAAAAGCTACAGAGGGTTCTGGGATGTAAGAAATATCTTATGGCTTATGTACGATCCCATCTCGGGAAGTCTCCTGCTGCAGATTGCTCGCTGGGAAGAAGGATGTCGTCCAGAGACTCTAAGCGAGAAATATATCTACCTTAAACCCTCTAAGTCAGAAATCTTTATCAGAACGCTGCCCTGAGGACCCTCGGGATATACGGAGTGCTCAGGGAACCTATCAGTGCTGTTTTGCGAAACTCTCATGTCAACCTTCAAAACGCCTCCGGCGCTATGTAGACACTTAAACAGGCCAATGGTAGTCCGATGAATCTACCCTGAGTCTTACTTGGCTTTTTAAGGGTTAGAAGCAACACCCCAGAGCTGACTGAGAGGTATTGGGCTATACACTCCCCGATGGACAACCCTAAGTCATAAACCCAACCCCCACCCCCAACGCCCCCACAAACCCTAAACCCTAAACCCAACCGCCCGCCTACCCTAAACCCTAAATCCTAAACCCCTAAACCACATTGAGACGCCTCCTCACCTCACCCCTAGACTGTAAACCGTGAAGCCCTAAGCCCTTAAACCTAAACTCTAGCCCCCAACATGAAACAGCCCTACCCTCTAAATCCAATAGATCTCTCATTGCATTTGGAATGCTATTAAACCCTCAACCCGAAACCCTGTAGGGGTTTAGGGTTAGAATATTGGAGTTGTCGCGATTTTGGGGGGCAGCGATTAAAGACAAAGGGTCGGCACCGTGGAACAGCTTAAGCACTCTACATCCCTGAAGCCTAAACTGTTACTGGAGCGGAGGAACTTGCCTTGAGGGGGTCCACGATGACTGCATCTGGATCAGCCTGGACATGTCCCAAAACCCTAAACCCTGATGTGGGGTTTGTTAAGGGACAAAGTTGTGGGCGTAGGTCTGTTTAGGGATAAAGCTGTAGGGTCTAAGGTGTGCAGGGCTTGGTTTAGGGTGTTTAGGGCGTTTTGGGTTCAGGGTTTAGGGTTGAGAGCTCAGGGTCGGAGATCGGTATGTAGGCTCAAGGATCTAGATCAAGTAGATCCCAAAGGAACCTGCAGAGCAGGAGGTTAAAACCCAAACCCTGATTACGTCCTAAACACTAAAACCTAAATCCAGATCCCTGAAACCTTCAACCTCAGATCTTAAACCCCAAATCCTAAACCCTAAAGCCTAAATCCTAAACGCTAAATCCGAAACCTTAAATCAACAACCCTAAAGCCTGAATCCTAAACCCTAGACCCTTCATGCTGCCGATTCCCCAAAGCCTTGCGCAAAGCATCGGCAATCTGCTGGCGATAGTTCTGTGGCACCAGTCCCTCGTCTTCCTTCATGCGGTTAAGGGTTTAGGGTTTAGGATTTAGGACTTGGGATACGAGCTCTGGGTTTACGTGTAGGATTCTCGGACTTTAGGGTTAGGGATGTAAGGGTTTCGGGTTCAGGGCTTTGGGATTCATACAAATTGTATAGGGTTTGTGTTCGAGGCGCGAGGTTTTGACAATGTTTTGACCGGCTGTTCTTTTTAGCTTCCTTCGGTCCCTGCACTATACCAATTCCATTTATCCCTGGCCTTAGGGTTGCGGATGCTCAGGGCATAGGACTTAAGTGTAGTTTCCATGTTCCTTTCCATTATCCCTCTATAACCCCAATAGACTATAGTAGTTTCCATTGTCTTTTCCAGTATCCCTAGATAACCCCAGTTTTCCATAGTAGTTTCCATGTTCTTGTCCATCCCTACATAACCCCAATTCACTATAGTGTTCTCCATTTCCTTTTCCATTATCCCTACATAACCTCAATTTACTACAGTAGTCTCCATTTTCTTTTCCATCAAATCCGGGATTTAGGTTCAGAGCCCAGGGTTCAGCATCTGAGGACGACAGCCTTAGCAGCTCAAGTGGCTGGTGATAGGGTTTAGGGTTTAGGGTTTAGAGTTAAGGGTTTAGGGTTTAAGGGTTTAAGGGTTTAAGGGTTTAGGGGTTTAAGGGTTTAAGGGTTTAGGGTTTAGGGTGAGGTGAGGTACCAGGATCACAGAATCATCTGCTGATGGATATCGGAAGTCACCTGAACGGCTTCAAGCAAAAAAAATCCGGAACAAACTCTTAGGGGGGGTAAGAACCCTGGTGTGCTGTTTGCACAGCAATTGGTGTATACTGCTCTCGCAGGGGCATGCTCATGCGTCATCCGTCGTCATACTTCTGACGATGCTTGTTGGGCCTTTCCATCACAAAAGCCTCCTTATCTATTGGAGCCCAGTATTGTCGGACCCCCCACAATGGGCCCACAAAACAGGTGCCAACAGCCTCAGGCTTACCCAACCGTCTGTAACCCGCAGCGCGTAAGAGGCACCGTCTTTGGACAGCTACCCATCTCATCCAACTCATGAATAGCAACCCAGACAGGCCTGCACCAGAAAGCTTAGCTGCTGTAGGGGCCTCATGAAGGACAAAAATTCATTCTTGGGGTGTACTATGCTACGGGTGATGGAAGACATCTTGGACCACCTACAGCTCTGAAACTCCTGAAGTTGCCAGGCTTTGGGGCCCTTCCGGCAATGGCACAATTATCTAGGCAGTAGCGCGGGGAGAATATGGGGGCTTCCACAGATTAGGAGTAGCTGTATAGGTGTCTATGCAAGGATTCCCAGTTCTGTTGGAGGAGGTATAATCCCTCTTAAGTAGATAGAATTTGGGGTGTATGTGGATCTTAATATGATATACCCAACGCCATATTCTATCTACTTAATGAAGACTATATCTTCATAGATGAAGGTGTCCCTTTAAAAAAACTCCATGTTTGCAACTCTTAGGCTCGGACATCATCTAAACTTTAAACCCTGAGCCCTAAACTCTAACCCTCATCCTAAACCCTACAACCCCTAACCCCCTA